AGCAATAATCAAAATAGCACAATCAGCTTGGGAAGTACCAGTAATCATGTTCTTGATGAAATCTCTGTGACCTGGAGCATCAATAATGGTGACGTGGAACTTTGGAGTTTCGAACTTCCATAAAGCGATATCGATGGTGATACCTCTTTCTCTTTCAGCCTTCAACTTGTCTAAAACCCAAGCGTACTTGAAAGAACCCTTACCTAATTCAGCGGCTTCCTTTTCGAACTTTTCAATAGTTCTCTTGTCGATACCACCACACTTGTAAATTAAGTGACCGGTAGTGGTAGATTTACCGGAATCGACGTGACCAATGACAACAAGATTAACGTGAGTCTTTTCTTTACCCATTTTGTTTAATGTATAATAATAGTATACTGTACTGAAAAAAGAGAAGAAGAAGAAGTTTTTCAATTTACTTCCTTATAAATTTTTCCAGACAGAACATTCGGCCATGGTGTCGTGGCAAAAATTTTTTTTCAGCCGAACTGAAATTGCGTTTACCCGGATAGGGCTATACCCTATTTTCTCTGTAGGAGGTCCCAATGGCAGGTATTCTGGGTAAAGGCTATCATTATGGCTGCAACATGTAGTCGTAGAGTAGAAATCAAAAAGGGACAGATGATTTATCCGAATTAACCATTCTGGGGATTTTTGTACGACCATAGTACGAAAAGGGGTATGAGCTGAGGGCTAAGAGAACATTTTGCAGTCACTTGATTGCGCCTGAGTATGTTGGAAGCGAAGTAAACGAAGAATGGGTAAGTCAGATTGACTGCTACGACTGGTTCTTGGGGTATCGTGCGTATATTGCATATTCAGCGGATAAATGCAGTGGGCCAGATGGCACTATGAATGTATATTTATTATGGTGACTTGGGGCCATTATTTCAGACCGGTCAATTTTCTAATGAGTTGCTCATTATTTTTCAACGAATCTGTATCCTGATAGCCTACTTGGGTCATGTCCTCGTCTATATTGGTGACATCGTTGTCGCTGTTCTCCTGTTCAGAGGATTTTTCATTGTCGTTTAATTTCTGTAACTTTTTCGATATAGATTCGGGGGAATCTCTTCCTGCCAAACGTCCGTATTTTCTTTTTTGTTTTCCTTTCCTTGGCGATGGTAATTTGACCTTATCATCATCCTTCTTGGGAGTCTCAAAACTGTCATTACTCAAGTTCTTGATGTAATCGAGCAATGTTTTGGGCTTCGCCGTGTTATTGGGAGCGAAAAGACACCACAGGAGATCGCAAATGTCCGGCAACACAAGATTGTGGATAGTTGATGGAGTGGATCTCTCCAATATTTCCCATATGTAAGCTATAGATACAATGGGAATTGACCAGTTCTTAGCGGCATTGATCTTATTTTTGGATGAAATTAATGACACTGATGAGTTGCCTGATTGGTAAACAGGACAATTTACAAAGTCAATTGCCTTGTATTGGTAGAGTTTAGGAGAGTTCTTTAGTAAAGTAGACTTGAATAGGTTAATGTTAATTACTAGTAAATCACGCGAGGATGTTAATGCTGGACAAAACTCAAAGTTTAGTAAGTTTATCAACTTCTCCAAATGAAGCAATTCAATTCCAGTGAATCCCGTGATACAGACCTTGAACTTCTTGGTACATGGTTTTAAACCCTTCAATGGCTGACACCATCTGTCCATTACTAATTTATTGTAATAAATTGATCTCTCTATGAACCATTCAGTCACGATCTTGATTTCGCCATTATTTATACGACTCTTCAAAGGAAGGTTTTTCAACAATGTTGACGATTGCGATCCAATTTTCACTGGTAGCACAACATGCGTTATTGTCTGACTTGATGAATCTTCGCTTATAATACCACTATGGAAAGTGATAATTTGATTCATTACTGTTGTCTCAGGGGTAGTAAAACCCACCACAAAGAAATTAAGATCCTCGAAAAGAGTTGACTTTTTAGGAACAGTATTCTTATTTGGTAAGTCATTTATTTCAATATCCAACGGCTCAAATTCTTCTTCTTCCATCACTTCATCCCAGGTGGTATCTTTTGCTGGTTTCAAACGCGTTTTGTATGTATTATTCATAATTTCATTCCATATTTTTGGGTCCTTTTTGAGAGACTTGTTGCTTGTATCGACTGCAGTGTTCTTCTCGTCTATCTTGTCATCAAGTATGTCGTTCTTTGTCTTATATTTAAATAATTCATCCCAAACGTTACATCCATTCAACTTTGAATCTAGCGTATAGTCCCGAAAATTCAATGCCGCTAATCTCAATACCGAGTCAATTATCCAGACGGGATGAATCACTGGGATTCCCCATTCAACTGCTTTGGTATATCGTTTTCCAGTTTTTTCAGTAGTTATGATGCATGAGTTTGACATTGTCAAAGAATCTGTAGCTTTGCCCCCATTATCAGATATAAACTGAATCATCTTCTCTGTTGTGAAGTTTACGCCGGAAAATTCTTGTCTAAATTCCTTCTTTAATAAATGTTCAAATGATTCAACTCTCGATAAACATATACTTAGATTGTCAAAGATCGGTAATAAATAATTTTCAATATCGAGTAGGTGTTTCGTATCTTCGCCATTGATCCAGTGGTCGTATATTTTCAATATTGCATCTGGTTTCAAGAACTTCACATCAAATCTATTCTGAACACAGTAGATGTACTTTTCAGTCTTTCTATCGCCAACTATGAGATAATTCACATCACTCATCAAATCGCTGTAATGAATACCACCGAGAGCTGTTAACTTCTGAGAGATGTCCTCTCGTAGCTTGATTGGGATAGCTGTACAGCAGAACGTTAGCCCTTGGAAGGGTTTCGACATGGTTAACTATAGTATTATAGGTCAAACATGTATTTATATGTAGGAGATTTAAGTTGATATTTCTCAAATCATCAACACTGATTATATACAGAAATAACCTATTCTGAACAGCTTTGCTTCCATTACGTTGAATATTAAACACTATTATCTCCTTATTGCCAATTGCTAGAGATTATCATTAGCACTACATTGGGAATCATATGAATGTAGCTGGTGATGCAGTTTTGTATATTCAGCACCACCTTCCTATGTATGAACAATAATTTAGGCAACAATGCTATTCTAATACGATGAAGGCTTAAGGCCTACTATAGCTAAATATAATACATGTTTTACTTGTAAATGTATTTACCAGACGTAGCTTATAGTTATCCTAAAATGGTATAAATTTCGTTGTGATGAGTTTTCTCAATTTGCTGCAAATTGTCAAGAAAATTACCGTTTTAAAAAAATCTAATTAAATGTATAATCTATTAGGCATGCATAAGCCATTAGCCCAACTTTTCATTACTATTAATTTCTTTATGGGGTATATGTATATACCCCAAACAAGATTAACTGGACAACAACTCTACTATCAGTATAGAAAACATACTGTAGAACCAGAGCTTTACAGTCTCTAACTGCCTTTCTCGTTTTATCACAACTTCAACCCCTTAATTACATAGACCCGTTTTACATTTGACAGTTTAATGAATATGGCTCCACGTTCCTGACGAACCCAAAAGTGCTGGTGCAGCATTTTCTTAGGTCTTATTGCGGATTCGGAAATGGCGAGGTCCCTGAAAGGCTCATTTCTACTATTACCACATTACAATACTACAACCCTACAGCAAGCCGCCTCAGTTCATTATCCCCCGGAGACGCCCACAGGGTGCTGGATTCCATACATGTGTATAAAGGGATCTTTACTCCAGTAACAATTACATGCTATGTCTATTATGCGTTTGTAGCTTCCACTTATTGGTTGTCGTCTACTATGTATTATAAGAACAACAATTGTTTTTGTTTTTTGTTCCTATTGCAATTATTCAACTGCAGGCGTTACAACACACCCACCCCTAATATATTCCTTTTTTTTTTTTATTTCTTTCCTTAAACGTACCATAACATACTAAAAATATCGAAAATCGCTCTATAAACAAAGGACTCCCACAAAAACACAAATATTACCGGCAGAGAAACAAAAATGCGCGATATAATCAGATACCTATTGCGCTGTTATGCCGTGTTACAATAAAAGCAATTCTCCGTAAACAGTCTTCGGTCGCCTTAATGGGGTCTCATGGATCTCAAGGTGACGTTCTTGCGTCCAATAGTAGGCTTCCTAGTCAGCAGCACTGGCAACATGACGTTCTCATGTCATATACGGTAGGGCTTGCCCGGTTGCCAAGATACAGGAGTTTTATTTATAGAACTCATTATATATAGCAATTACCTGATTTTTATATTATGTTTCCCGATTGGGACAACTGTTTATTGTACTCGACCAAAAAGGAGGCTTGTTCCTAAATAGTTCATTTAGCGCATGTTTTTACGTTGTTGTCGGCCAAATTCCGACCACAAAGGGCTCAAGTACCGAGGAATTTCAAATAATGAGAGGCTGCCAATTGCCTGGTGGCGTAATTGAGATACCGCATAAATCGCAAATTTTAGGCTTGAGAGCTTAATCCTGTAGTCTAAAGCTTGTTAATATGCCTGTTAAAACCATAAAAATTGCGTCAAGAAGATCACTAAATAGGGGCTAGTGGACAAATATTGTACCTGTAAAGCAATTTTAGCTGATGTTGACCCAAGAAAAGAAGGTCTTTGATCTGGTTTATACTAGTGGTTAATTTCATAGGGTAGCCTATTGTATGGGGGATCCTATCGATGTATCGTAAGTACAATAGACAATTGAAGTATGTTACGTAATCAATTGTTTTGGCATGCTGGAATTTACTAGTATATTATGACTCTCGTTTTTAGTGCTAAGCATGGCCCGAATTACCCAATATCGTAATACGACATCCGAAAAAAAAAAAACAAGTCGAAGGCATACAAAATTTTCGAGGAATTGATGAGGGAAAAAAGTATATAAACGGGGCCAAATCCCACTGAACCACATATTTTGAATTCTTTTTATTATACTATATTCCATATATTTTATTCACTCGCTCATATATAAAATGCAATACTCCACTGTTTTCGCTTCTGCTTTATTAGTCGGTTCTACCGTCGCTGCTTACACTAACGGTACCACCGTCACCACTGACGTCACTGTTACTGACTACACCACCTACTGTCCATACTCCACTGTCGTCACCGTCACCAAGTGTGAAGAAGACAAGTGCCACCCAACCGCTATCACCGTCACTGAAGCTACCACTTTAACTGTCACCGGTGAATGTGTTGTCCCAACCACCTACACCACTGAAGTCCAAACCAAGACCGAAACCGTCTGTGACACCTGTGAACACCCAACTTCTGCTGCTCCAACCTCTGTTGCTCCAACCTCTGAAGCTGGTGAATCCACTGCTCCAACCACCGTTGCTGGTCAATCTACTTCCCCAGCTTCTTCTGCTGCCGGTGTCACCTCTTTCGAAGGTGCCGGTGCTAGAAACGTTGCTGGTGCCTTCGCTGGTGTTGCTGCCGTTGCTGCTGCTTTATTATAAGTTTGATAGACCTTTTTGTTTATTAATTGCTTTTACTAAAGTGTTTTAATTTTCTTTATTAAAATGTTCTTTCTAATCGTTGAGATTTAATTTCTTGGATTTATATTTGTGTTCGGTAATTTATAATTTTTAATTCACATATTCCCTTAAGAATTAAGACTGTAGTAGTTTGTTTAGTTATTGTCAGATCTTAGATCTATATATGCATCTCGTAGGTATTAGATACAGAAAACTAAGGTTTTTAGACAATTGAGTATACCTTCGATTTTTGATTTCGAGTTAACAAAACCTGTATGCTTGACATATACTATCGGACTCTTAGCTTGTATGCCCAAGTAGTAGTCACTACTGATGACTATATTTCGTTCTTTGAGTCTACCATACTGTTCAAATAAAAATTGTGCGACTTTTTTATAACTAACGATTTCATGTCGCAGTATAATTGAATCATATATAGCATATCTAATACAAGTTTTGTAAGTCCTTTAAACTGAATGAATTATGACAGATGAAGAACTGAATAGATTTCCGAAGTCGTCGAGGTTTGCAAATAATTCTGACTTACCAGATTTGCGGTTTTATAACCATGTGAAGGATAATAAACAAGTTTTGGTAAATAATCAATTGAATAATATAAACTACAATCCGTTTAATTCTCCTCAACAGAAGACTAAGGCCAACTTTCCTATTGACTTCTTTCATTTACAGAATAAGATTACTCTTTCAGACATTCCCTTGACGGACTCTATTCCAATTTTTCAACTTAATGATGCTCAGTTTCAAGATCCTATAAAATTTATTGATAGCGTCCATGAGATGGGAGCGAAATATGGCGCAATTAAACTTGTTATACCAGAGAATACCGAAAACTCATTCAAGTCAAATTTTCAAATTAATTCAGACTTATTCTGGTTTCAAACTAATAAGTTGTTAAATAATTCGACAAATAACGAATTAGAAAATAGATTGAGATTTCATCAAGAATTAATAGAATTTCATTTACAGCATAAGAAGGAGGACGCATTAACAGAGGGTTCACTTACAAACGTAGAAACTTCGAAGGAATCGCCAATACCTCCAACTTCCGATGTCTTAAGCGCATCTACACCGGACTCAAATCCGAATACTAAAGATTCTACACCGGTTCCAGTCAACGAGGCCAAAAAACCTAAACTGAATCTACCTTCCTTCTTGAATAAATTACCGATGATCGATAAAAGGCCGTTGGACTTATACAAACTATTCAGATCTGTGTTAATTAGAGGGGGTTTTATCGAAGTTGTAAATAAAAAATTATGGGCACAAATAGGAAGGGAATTAGGCTATAAAGGAAAAATCATGACGAGCTTAAGTAGCTCTTTGAAGTCCTCCTATTTAAGGATCCTATATCCATTTGAAATGGCCTCAAATAATAGAAAGTATGAATTGGTTGGGATTGTCGTTCCAACCGCAGATTCAACGAATGGAGCCCATAATGAAAATATAATAGATTCTAATCACTCCGTGAGTGATAACCCCGGAATGGATGTTGAGCCTCCTTTAATAATTGGTTCATCTAAAGATTTCAAGCGGTCGATTAAATTAAAATCAGCAAAAGGATTCTTACTTAATTCTCCACATCTCATTGACGTCAAACAACCCAATACATTTATAAGCAAAGGAATTAATGAAGGCGAGATTGATACTACTAAGAAACGTAAGAAAAATTCTGGTGAATCAGCAATTACCCCAATAACCCCAGCTTCTCAAATAAACCATGGCTTAAAATCGATTATAAATAACCAATCTGTATATCAAGATGATTCTCGTTTGGAGTTAAATGGAAAATCTGCATCTATTTATAACTTAAGACAATTTATGGAGAAGGATTTGAAATTTCAGGAATATATAATTCAACAAAATAAGGATCATTTTAATAAAGTCAATGTCAATTCAAATGACAAATTCTTTTATCAATTCAATGATCAAAATATTTCTGTGATGGAGCGAAATATAATTAATTTAGAAAAATTCGAACAATTATATTGGTCTTTTATAATGAATAAGAAACTGAAGCACAATGATAATGATAAGAATACAAACGATATTGCTACATGGAATGATGGCCTAGAACTTGAAAATGGAACTAACTTGCCTTCTTTCATTAATGGTTCCGGCTTTGCTAGAATAGGAGATGATCTTATTAATCACAAAAACCATTTGACCAATGTAAATGTTAATAATGCCACTTCGACGAATAATGTAAATGGTGCTAACGCTAATAATTATACTACTTCAAAGAATAGTAGTCCTACCAATAATATTGAAACTAATTCCTACAACTCGTCCGACTATATCAATAACTTGATACAGACGTCACTAAATCCTTGGAATTTACATAATTTACCAGTTTTAGCAAATTCATTGTTAGGAGGTTTATCAGAAAGCGATTTAAATAACCAGGATCTTATCAATCCAACCTTAAGTATCGGCATGACATTTAGCACTGAAAACTGGAAATGCGAAGATCATTTCACACAACTTTGTAATTACCAATTTTTTGGAAGTTATAAGAAATGGTACTTTATACCTGAGCTGGATTTTGAAAAGTTTGAACAATTGGTCAAAGAAGTGAACGATAAGAATAACGAAAGAGTTAATATAAATAACGATGATTGGAATATAGAGGTTTTATTGAAGTACTTTAATAATGGTGAAGATACGACAAATATAGAATACGAATCGTTATTAAATTCTTTGGAAAACATGATTAACCCATCTCCAGATTACAACAACTCAAGAATGCAACATTCTAATCCATTGTTTCAAAAGATTATTGATTACAGAAATCAACGAAGAGAAAAATTAAATTATAACCAGGAATTCATGATAACTCCTGAATTATTAAAACAAAAGGGTATAAGTTTCACTACAACGATTCAAAAGCCTGGTGAATTCATCATTAAATTTCCGAAGACCTATTCGTCTACCATATCGTTTGGCTTAAACTTGAGTGAAGAAGTCAATTTTGCTACCAAAAATTGGCTAAATTATGCAATTGAAGGTGAAAAATGGTTGAATAAACAATCTATCTTGCCAAATTTCCTGATTTTCAAGCTATTGATCAACTTAGCGCAGTTATATGAATCGGGAAATAATAATGTTTTCTTTAATTCCGAGATCTACGAACAAAGTTTACATATGTATAGTTCATTGTATAAACAAGAACTAAAATTGAGGGATAGAGTAAGAAAAAAGTTTAGTCATATAAGAGAACTTGTTATTGATGACAAAACTTTTGGAGATATAGATTCCACCGCTGATGATGATTTAGCAAGCACTTTTCCTTCAAAGATAGTTTTAACCGATGTGAAATTGAAGCAAACGTTTATTCTATCATTACCTAGGTTCTTAGAATATGTCGAGTTAAGTGAACTTGAAAATGATTATGATATTAAAAGCGTCCCAAAATTAATGGGGAATCCTAACTTGAAGATAGAGTTGCATTTGTTTTACTCAGATGATAAGTTAAAATCGTTTTACAGAATATTAAACACCTATTCAATTGACTACGACGAATGGATGCAAAATTACGAACGATTAATGAACGAAAATTCTGAGCTTTCCTTAAGAGTCTACAGAAGCTTACTTATTGATGGTGAAAAAATTTATTTGGCCTTATCTTCTTCAAATTTCTTTCATGTGTTTAATAATAAACCGAATAATGAGCCAGAGGATTATGAAACGATAAAGTTGAATACCTTCAAAAATTATATCGAGAACTTAAGGTTATTCGTGAATGATGCCAATGATTTTATTGAAGAATGCCAAAGTATTTTATCTATAAAGCATCAACAGCGTATCAGAAATGGGAACACTAATAATGATTTTCAGAGGCCTAATGGTGATGTACTCGCGAGGTTAATAAATTTAATTGACAAAATTCCAACTCTAAATTTCTCATGTTCTGAGACTGAACAAATATTAGAATTTAAGGTAGAAATTGAGAATTTTGATAGAGCTTGTCGTCAGCTTATTTCGAAAGCCAAGCAAAGTAACTCATTACAAGAATTCAATGACTTGATCAACCTTGGCCAATCATTTGGAATTGAATTACCGTCTTTGGCTTTTTTAATTAGGTTAAGAGATAGATTACAGTGGATAGAAACATATGATAAAATTCTCAAAGGAGGTGATCCATATAGCGATAAGAAGGATATTTTTTCATTGCAAGATTTGAAAAATTTCAGAGATTTAGGAATTAATTTATTAGGAAGGAGAGATATAGACAAGATCAGAATAATTGACTCCATTATAGATCATAGTGAAGAAATGAATTATAAGTTGGTTGAATTCTTAAGTTTTGAATATGCGGAGCTAGTTTCGTTTGAGGAATTAGATAGAATACTTACCGATCTTGAAAGTAAATCCAAGGCTCAAGGTGAAGATCGTATATTTGTTTATCTTGATAATTACGAAAAGCTTGTCAACTTGAAACAGAATAGTAAACTTGTGAAGCAATTTAAAGATTTCAAAGATTCTATAGTGACTTGTGGTAAATTCACTATCCAAGAAATAAAACAACTACAAACATCCATAAGTGAATCAGGCTTAAAGTTCGAAATGAAAGTTCTAGATAATAATTTATCAAATGGAGAAGAATGGGTTTCAAAAGTTTGGAAAAATTTCAAGGACTTGAAGATTATAACTGTACTTAATAAAGGAACAAATTCTGCAGAAGATATGAATCCGAAACTCAATATTAACGATCATTTAATGGAGAAGTTACAACAGGTTGCTAATAAGAATGAGTTTAGTTTATCAGTGAAATCAGATCCTTATTCAAGTTCATCTTCTCATATTTATTATAAAGGAGATAATGAGTCTTTAGAAGATTCAATTCAACAACAAATATACTGTGCATGTCGTGAATTTGAATTTGGAACTATGATAGAATGTGATAAGTGTAAGGAATGGTACCATACTCAATGTGTTAACGAATCTGCTTTAGAATCTGACAATAACAATGATGATAACTACTCTTGTCCAATTTGTAAATTAATTGACTCTGGTGTATTTACTGATCACTTTTTGACAAAGCAATTAACATACAGACAACTCCTTGTATTAGTAGTGGAGGGAAAGCAGCTAAAAGTGTTCCCAATAAATGAATTGACCAAATTAGAACAACTATCTGATTTCGTTACGGCTTCTTTTAAAGATTTGAACATTGAAGTTGACAAGGTAAAACAAAGTGACGAACAGCTTGCAAACAAAATTGACCGTTTAAGGTTCTTCTTGAGGAAAGTGTATGGCGCTGGAATCTTAATTGAGGAATTACTCACCGATTTGTTGAGTACCATTAGAAAATTTGAGTATGATTTGTCAATTTTAATGCCACTTGCGACACCAATCGATCGTGAACTCAATAATCAAGATTCTGTGAATGAAACTATAGAGTCTACGAAGCTGGAAGAACAAACAGATCTAAGACCAACGCAAGAGTACATTGGCGATCACCCTTTCGCGTCAAACACCAGTTTACATGAATCAGTTCCAAGTGTAAAAACTGAAACGACTACTTATGCTAGCGTCTTGAATCCTTATTCTAATACTTTGAATCAAACAAACGAAAATCCAACCCCCAAAATTTCATCTATAGACAATGCTACAAATACTCCGGTCGAACACGTTAATAATCTGTCATTATCGGGAGCTGAAAATAATACAAACGACTCCTCTACAGCATCTCTAACTGGTAACTATTCGAACGCACAAAATACGGATAGAATTTCAGATGCCGACCCTGACCAAGACATTAATCCAGAATCTGCAGATCAGATTAGTTCTAATGAAAGGCAGCTTGAATATTCCTTACCTGTTGATGCTGAGCCAGAAGAGCTAATTCCATTTTTAGCTAGTCAGGTGGAACTAAAGAGAGATGATGCTCCTACAGCTACACCTTTTGGAGTCACTACTGAAAGTAACATTCACAGCACAACAAGTGATGGAATAGCCACTGAGCTGGCAGAACTGAATATAAATAACCAGGTTTAGTAACATATATAGTTGAAAGCTACGGATAGTTTGTCTAACAATACGCGATTTTATCTAAAATTTTATGTAGTTTAAATGTAAACAAGAAACTGAGCGTCTTTATAAAGCTACAATTACCAACAATGAGCAGGTCTATTACTCCACGTATAGATAAATTGATAGATATATGTTGGTCAAGGACAATTGAGACGAGTACATCAAAAGATTTTATATATATCTCGCAAGCATTCGGTCTTATAAGCCAATTGCAAGATTTGGTCTGCAGCAAGGAACTACTTACCACAAATGAAAAACAGCTATTACATAAGATGTCGTCAGATAAACCTCTGTTAAAACTATTCAAACACGAGTTGGTGTCATTTATATTACGGTTGGTTAAATTTACCGATATGGAAAAATTTCTTATGGAGAGAGGAAGCATCAGCTTATACGATATAAATAAAGCAGTAAGCGGAAACAGTAAACCTTTCAGAAAGCCATTATCACCATATAATATGAAAATCAATAATTCGAAGTCACCAGCAAGACCCATATCAACATCAACACCAATGACGTACACCTTAAGACCTGAATCAAAGCAAACAATATCACCTCCACAATCACCTGTAATGATGAGACCCAGATCGTACGACAGAAAGGAAATTAATGGGCTCAGATCCAGTGTTTTGATGAAGGAGCACCAGATAAATGATAGGGAGAATCAATACTCTTCGGTTGCTGACGAGAACAACCAACTATCTTCGACTAATAGAATGCAGCTAAGAAAAATACAAACCCTAGAAATTGATATAAATAACTTGAAAAAATACGTTGAAACATTAGAATATCAGTTAGAAAGACAAAGCGTGAACAAACCTAGCACATTAACAGATAGAAATATAATGAAAGAGCTTGTTGATAAAAACACCGAAAACGAAAAAATTATTCAGCATTTAGAAAGTTTGTGTGAAAGACATCAAAAGGATTTAACGAAATACAAGACCAATGACCATAAATATGAACCGATTATTCAAAAGCTAGCTCTCGAAATGAATAAACAAGATGAATTAGTAGAGAAATTAAAGTTGAAATTAAATTTAAATGACAGTCCGTCTGATAACTTGGAGTTGAAGACCTTTTTAAAAAAGTTGCCGTTTATCAAACAGTATTATTTATATTATAAGTATCAACAAGACCAAAAGAACTTTGGAACATTATTCATCAATATGGCTACATTATGCTTGACGTCGGTCATTTTACTTAATATCCTAAAGTTTGTCTTCTACATAATGATTTCTTTGTTCGACATGAATAGAACAACGAGTGCAAATAACTTACAAGAGTACATATATGATGATTATGGACTGAATAATTGGTTCAGTTCTAATGAAGCGACATTTGTATGGTGGAAAGAGATAGAATGGCTTGAATATGCAGTTTATAGTATAAGCGATTGGATAGGTAGCTAAGTTTAATACAAAATGTCCATACATTTAATAAAAATTAATAATTATACACAGAATTATGTTGAAAGACATATTTTATAATTTATTATGAGTATACAAAATAATAAAGAAGAAAAATTCATCTTTCAGTAACAGAAATAAATTAATCCAAGCTAATCAAATTTAGTTCATTTGCTTAACTAAGGCGTTAATGAATTCTTCTCTGTTACCGGTGTCACCACCTTGGATAAAGTGGAAGAACTTTCTAGCTCTGAAACCACCGTTTGGATTAGATAACTTGAATGGCCATAAGAAGTTGTTAGCTTGCTTGAAGTTTGGACCAACAGTGTAGATTTCGTGGATTAAATCTTCAATAGATAAGATACCGTACTTACCTAAGTTAGCTTCAATGATAGCATTGTCAGATAAAGCGATTCTTTGCTTGTTAATCTTACCGTGACCTCTCTTGTAGATTAAGTGTCTGATGGTAGATAAGTTAGGGTAACCGTAAGCAATGTATGGCTCAGCTAACTTCAATAATTCAGAAGTGGCCTTGGTTAATCTGACGAAAACACCAGCGTTAATTTGGGTCAATCTTAATAATTGTAAAACCTTTCTTGGCTTTGGAGCAATCTTGTTGATACCCTTGATTCTGACAACGAAAACTAATTTTGGTTGAGCATCAACGTAGTAAGAACCAGCAGCCTTAGCATCACGCTTAGCCTTGACGACAGCACGTTCAGCATCGGTGTATTCCTTTTGGTAAGCAGCAGCTCTGTCGAAGATGATCTTACGCTTTTCTTGGTTAGACTAATGAATTGTTAGTAATTGTTATTCCATTTAACTTTGATTGTCATAAATAAGTTATTAAATATTTTCTCAGTCCCGAAAGATGGTTAATTGATCGACAACATTGCCGTAGCTAGTCAAATTCGTATGGTTGATTTCATCTTCAAAAATAATTAAGAGGTTTTATGAGACACAAGATATGACAACATCTAGTGACAAATTATTTATACATACAGCTTGACGGGCAACCTTGGCGGCAGCACGTTCTTCGGCGGTCTTTTGTTGAGCCTTAGATTTCTTGACTAAAGTTTCTGGTTTTAAAGTGCTAATATAAGTTAGTAAAATGTTCTTGTTGTCGCTCTTGCGAACGCACACCAAGTGGGTTGAATAGACCCCGTTGCATTTCCTCTTAGAACTAATAAATAGAGCTGGCAAATGCTATATGTGCCGGAAAGGCCCATATAGAAGCAGAACTGAACAGCCACATTCATTCTACTTCACATTTGTCCACACTCAAAATTAACTCAGAGGAAAGCAGATATATCAGGCATTGGCAATGGAGTTTTGGAATATATTCAATTCAGCTGCAAGATAATCTAACTTTCCCTTGGCATCATTTTGATCAAAGTCAATGTATCCAAGAATGACAATGACAGTACCTCATACTACTTATGAGAGTTCTTATTGCTTTCCATCAAACATTTGTTAAATAGAACAGCAACTTCGATCGAAGTAAATTACAAGACCATATTACAGGCGAAAAATTTTTCCAATCTCATCTCAAGAATTTTTACCTATAGCCATCTATTCAACAATGAATAGACACTGGTTCCAATATCTTCAGACAATATCAGTGAATTTCACAACTCCGTCTTATGATACTGGTATTAAACTTCATACCTTTGTCGAAACAAAGAATTGAATCATTTTCCATCCATCCCAGGCCAGACACATCATTGGTTTACGATGTTATTCAGCACTCGGGTATGTTTGAATGAGATATTACATACGAAGCCATCTTGTTGATCTAGTTAGTTACTAATAAGAAGAAGTTTAATTTATCAAAGAAGAATATTTCTTATTCAGTACCGAACAGTGAGACTGAGCTCGCTAGATGAAAGTGAAAAATTTTTGAAAAATTTTTTGTAAACGAACGAGAATTTGTCACATGAATTCGAATAGGGCTGTACCCTTGGTGATTGGATGTTATATTGTTGACTACAGATAGCTGAAAATGCAACACTGTTCGAAGTCCTAATGTAGGGCATGCAACATTCATTCAAGAGAATTCGTTACTGTAGGTAGAAATTTGGTTTACGATTTACAAAATTAGAGTCATGACATGACAAACGAATCTGATATTTAAACTATGGGTCAATATAATGATCCTCAATAACCGTACGAATAATCGCCTTGTATCCATCTGTTGACCATATCTAAGGCATTCTCTGGCTGGTCGTATGGAACCATATGGCCCGCATCATAGATTCTTAAGAACGTGAAAATGCCTTGGTTTTTAACTTCACCGGCCAATTTCTTGTCTAAGGTATACCATGGCTGCAATGGCTTCAGTTCAAATTCTCCGTGACCAGTGTATTCCAAAGCATCGGACCAGCCATGGTTACCAAGCCAGTTACAGATGAAATCCTTATCACCCGCATAAATCAAGACGGGAATGTTCTTGTCAAGCAACTCGGCTACGTACTGCTGGAATGGTTTAGGGCCGTCTCCACTAAATAAGAAATTTCTGAATACGGTGTCGTCACAACTGTTAAACATTTCGATGTTCGAGGCACCAACTACGTTCTTGACGAAATCAAGGTTCAAGTATTCATCGACATATGCCAAAGCTTCGTAACATAACTCACCCTTACAAGTAGTTCTAATATCATAAGGATTTAATCCTGTCTTTTGAAATGGTCCGAATAACCTTTCTTCGCAATAGAAGTTGGCAGGGATACATGTCAATGCACTAGGGGCATCATAACAGATCTTTGTCAAGGCAGCACACCGTGGATAATCCTTTTCCATTCTCTCACATTCTTTATCAGTAATAACTTGCTTGTAGCCACCTTCACCACACGCCATTGGCTTGTAATATGCAGATTGAATTAACGAATCAGTAATGCCATTTCCGATCAACACAGAGCTTAAGTCGAACGACCTATCGGCATGGTTAATAATCTCACTGGCAAAACTTGGAATATAATGGCCAGCATAAGACTCACCAGCAATATGAAATGGATTCTTCACAAACTCTGGGAATTTCTGAAAAAATAATTCCAAGAATACGAACACATCTTTAGCAGCAGATGCGGTGCTCTTGACTTCTTCGCCGTTTGTATATGAATAACCGACTCCCACTGGTTGATCCAAAAAGATAACAGATGCATTGGAGTTCCAAGAATAAGGGTTATACTCCGGTTGCAAGGTGGCATTTATCAGAGAAGGACCCAATTCGAAAAATAAGCCTGTGGCCGACGAACAGCCAGGACCTCCGTTCAACCACAAGATAACCGGATCATTTTCTGGATCGTTACGGGACTCAAAAAACCAGTAGAAAAAATGCTTATCCAAATCATTGACATCTAAGTACCCTGTATATTGCTTAACAGTATCTAAACCAAGTACTTCTGGGCTGGTTTCCTTGATTCTTAAAGTATGGTCTGCAAACCTATCGGCTGATAATACTTCGAAGTCATCACCAGAAGAATACGACTTGAAAGTTTCCTTAACCCTGTTGTTCATATTTTCAGACGAAACCTTAAATTGAGAGTTATACTCGTCAATCTTTCTCTGTAACCTCTGCGGACTTAATTTCTTCTGCATCTCTTCCCAAGCATAAACCACATCCTCATTAAAGCTCTCCTTAATATTGCCTAATTTTTTTCTTTGTTCGGCCAAAAAATCGAATTCTTTTGGTGCTTCACCATCAATTGTTTCCGTATTCACATCTACTTTGAAAATCGACTGCTTAATCTCCTTCATGAGCGGCATCCCGAAAGATAAGGCCTCGGTAGTCGATACCACTCCTAACACGCCTATTAACGTGCTCAATTTCATTATTATTCTGACTAGCAACTATATTATAAACTCAGTAGCAATTATTATCCAATTTACACCTTTTTGGGGTAATTTACAGAAAGAAAGAGAGCCTACTCTAGCGATCCATTAGGGATCTTTTGTGGTTTATCCATATCTCGGCCTTTTTTACGACATCTGCGACATATTTGCAATTATCATTTAAATATAGTCTAAACACCCCCGTTTAAAGCGTTAAATAGTCGCTACACTCACCATAATGCACAAAAGAAATCAACTATAACATATACATTGTTTGAAGATATTTTTGCCATAACCTCGACGTTCCTAGGAAGTCGGCGTTTAGCACAAGAAAATTCGTTTCTTTAATATATACTGTTAATGGTTTCCCAATTCCAACCTTAGCCTTATATATTAAGAAGTACATTATTCACGTCCTCTGTGAATAATACGATATGATTTTAGCATGAATGAAACATATAAGGCTTCCCAGGAGGTCTTCTTATCGATGCCTTGGTTTTGGTATGATTGCGACAATGTCGCATAGTAATAATTTCTGTCGAGATTCAATTTGCAGGTTACCTTTACGTGTATGAATTTTTAAGCTTGTTTACTAGACATTGAAGTAACTATAACCAACTAGCTATTATCAAAAATTAAGTATGGATCCTACTCCAGTACCAGTCAGTGTAGTTTCTACAAGGAAAACATTAGCCATTCAGGCTAATGGAAGCTTAGGGGGATACTTACAGCATAACCTCATTGGAAGTGGGCATCAAGGACCAGAAATGATGACTCGTATAATCATGTCGTTGAAGTCGGGAATTCAGGAAGAGGTAGAATGGGCATTGACATCGTTGTCGCAGATTTCGTGCACATCGCCTAGCTTGGTGAATTTTGAAAAAACGCCATATTTGGCTCATGAGTTGATAGGCTATTTCATAAAGCCATTCCAAATGATGCTAGAGAAAAAGGACCTGATAATAACTCAGGGAGAGATGCTGTTGAGTCTTGATTCGTTGCTTTCATTGAGGAATTTGGCGCAGGATTTGGTTAATCAGCAGTATTTGTCTCAATTGAAGACGTTGAAGAAGCATCTCATTGAGGTTTTGAAGATATTTGTTCATTGGTTCTATGTCGGCGATGTGAGATCGCACCATCTAACTCGATTCCACAACCAGTTCAGGGAGGGGCTTAATTACTTGATAGACTTGTTAGATCCGTTGAGTTGTTACTATGTTGATAACACTAAAAACGACTCCTTATTCAACCAACTATTATTTGCTTCTCTCCATACAAAAGACAAATACTTATTAATTAATATCATGATAATTATATCACATTTATTATTTATTAAAGATACGACTACTAAGCCTACGGAAGGCGATAATAATAATAATAACGAAAAGCAACAAGAAGAGTTGGAGGAAGAATTAAGTAAAACCCCAAATAATTGTATTGATGCTATTGAAGAAGTCCACCTTGAAAACTTCGTCTTCTTCTTATTAATAGCTGATAATGAACTTTCAATTGCCACCTTGGAGTTCCTTAAACAATACTTGTCTTCAGAGGCACTTCATCCATCATATCCAACATCTGTTAAAGATTCCCAGGCTTATAGATTGAAAAAACTCTTACAAATCAAATCTTCAAAAGCGATATATCAAACCTTGATCAAGGAGTTACCTATTTTAATGGTATCTAATTTATCGTTAAATGATCCTTCAAAAATTCCAGATATGCCTCCATTGAGTTTAACTAAAAGGTCGCAATACATAAGCGTGCCAACCGTATTGCCTCTGTTATCAAAGCAATTATACGATATCATAGTTAAGTTTCCAGAACCTTTAAGAGCTACCACATGGTTACGTTGTTGCTACGAGCCATTTTCAAAGGCTAATGAAGCAAATGTCATATCAGATTCTAGTGATGTAATTCCTGGGGAAGTTACCCAAATTTCATTATGGAAAGCTTATGAAAAGCAATTTGAAGAAGTATGGCAAACATCCAAAACCCAAGCAAACCCTGAGTGGCCGCCCTTATTGCCAGCGGTTGATTTCATAAAGAATGTGAATTCGGCATTCCCGAATTCTGAGGCTATGGTGGTCAATTTAAATCCCGAATCTACGGAGCAACAACCAAAAAAGAAGTTTATTATCAAGGGAATCCAGCCAAGACAATTTGTGGTTAATATCGACATTGGTAACTATGAAGCATTGAGACAAAAACCAACTCCAAACTCAGACTCCACCTTGAATGCCGATTCAAAAATTTTACCAATCGGCCATATTGATATTGACAAATTCCAGCACAATTTAAATAACTTATCTGAGGCATTATTGTCTCACTCTTCACGTCTAAGGAAAGATCTGAAAGAAGTCACTCCAATTAATTTAATAAGCCATGATTTGTTGGATTATATTATAAACGAGGTCCTTGATAACACTGAATCTAATGAACTACAAGATTTATTTAGACTCTATAATAGCCACTGGTTACCAGACTTGATCTATTCGAATCCTAGTCTTATTGAAAGTGGTCTTGTTAACAGTAAGTGGTTAAAATACTTACTCTAAATATGTATTATATTGATTATGTAATCGCCGTATAAAGTGAACTCATTTTTTTAGAAAGGATTAATAAATGCAAACTTGTTTTTTCATCTACTTCAACAGATTTTAAATAATATTGAACATGGCATCCTCAAAAGCTCCTCTTGGCGTTCGTATTACTGACATGGTACATAGAGGTACCGTTCTCGGATTAGTTGGTATTTGTGTTGTTGGTATCGGAAGTATAACTTTCAATATATACGCTAACTCTGATTACGCCAGAATGAATAAGAATAAATTAGCGTTTCTGAAAGAACAATATGACCAAGCACGTATTGCTAGCACTGAAGAAGCAGATAAATAAATATAAGAAATGTGAAAGTTCTATGAACAAGAAATAATTTTACTAGTAATGAGTACGGAGAGGGTACTATTACGCTACGACGTGGGTGTTAACTTCAACATAATTAAATGTTTGTATATAGTTTGGTTTCTACCTATTATCAATATGCCTGTATATGTATATACTGACTAGCTTTCATATTTACATGTCAAATATCATATTCAAAGTTTAGTCTTTTTCGTTAAGTCCTTAGTTTCATCTGCCTTGTAACTCCTTTTTCTTGAGTTGGAATCATCATAAGCCATCGATTTACTTTTTTTCTTCTTCTTATTCTTCATTGGTTTCTTAGAGTGGGTAAGTTTCAATTCTTGTAAGTAGTTGAAACTTCTCTCGTTAAATTCCGTGCGTTCTGGAACATCTCTTGGATTTAATAAGACAACATCGTACTTGAAACAAAACATTTCACCACAATTAGGGCAGTCGATTTCTTTAAGCAAGCTATCCGCTTTATTATCCTTCTCTCCGAAATGTTTCCCGAGTCCTTCTAAAACCTTGAAAGATATTATACACCCACATGGACGCAAATATGCATAAACCGTATTACTATTCAGTTCCTTTGTTATAGGACATTGAATATCTGGGATAGCACCATATAAATTATCCTTCCAACTAATGTGTACATCAATAATATCTCTCAAAGAGCGTAGATGACTGAATGGTGAAGACATCTTTTTATCTACACCGCCTTTTGTATCAACAAAATCATCCTTGCTACTTTCACGCTCAAGCATATATTTCAAAACCTTCGATTTGTCATACAACTTTCCTTTATAATCACTTACGGTTATCAGGCCATATAGTGATGTTGAAGATAACGCACATGTCGTTAGGTCAGAACTTTCATCATCATCAGCTATTTGAATTTTATCATTTACTCCATACTTTCCATATGAATGTAAAGATAGTATATCTTGTCTTTTAGCTATAGTTCCACCATCATTACCCATACTGGTTGAAAATCATTCATAGATAATACAGACAGATACTACATGAACAGATTCAAATTTTTTAGTGAGATTCCAAAAAATGTGATAAACTGAAATTTTTCGAAGTGCTGATTTAACTAGTATCTACATAATCGATCATCAACAATCAATAAACAACAATTATGGCAACAGGGCAACAAAGAAAGATTGACTTGACTCAACTTCAACCTCAACAAATCATTGAATTTCGTAAATCTACTGAACAAGAGATAAACCATTTCACTCAATCATTACAAGCCTTACAAACAGCACAATCAAGATTGAAAGAATGCATTAATAGTGTTGACAACATGGAAAAATCAGATGCATCTGAGTTATTAGTTCCGTTGACTAGTTCTTTATACTTACCAGGTAAGATAGCGAAGAAGGATGAATACTTAGTTGATATAGGTACTGGGTATTTTGTTAACAAGCTGGCAAAGGAAACTAAATCTGTTTATGAAAGTAAAATAGAAAAGTTAAATGGCGATTCGAAGAAGCTTAAGGAAATATTAGTTCAAAAGAACGAAATATTGAATAGCATTAATTTGGTGTTAAGAAATAAAATGATTGAATATGAAAAACAACAGAAACAGCAACAATAAGTATCAATAAGTTGGATTGATACTTCCTATAATTGTTACATAGATGAAGGGATATATACTGTAAAATATTATTAGCTCAGGTTTATGAGCTACCAAGTCCTCGATTGATTACAAAAAGCCTAATTGCATTTCATTTAAGGTCAATTACTGGCTATATACGTTCTATATAAGTTTTAAATTAATCAATTAATTGTTATTTACTATTCGTTAGTCGTATTCTTTATTATAAATAAATGGTTCCTGAAATACAGATCTCATGTTCAGTAATTTTCTTGATCCCAAACCTTGGATATTATTCAAACCTCCATCCTCGTTGCTTTTGCAACTTTGCAAAACAATGTTCTTAACTGATCCACAGTTCGCTAATAACTTAACAGAATCAGTTTTGTTTACTGATCTTATTCCTGTGAGTGTGTCCACTACACATGCTTGATACTCTAAACTCTTAGAGCCCTTAATTGCAGACTTTACCTTAGATGATGACAATTCATACTGTTTACAGAAACCAATATAATTTCCAGCTTCCTCAAATGACCATGCCAATACTAGTGAGAGGTCTTGTTTAATACAAAAATTCAGCAATTGACGTAAAATTTCTTGATGAGCATCGATATCGACAACTACTAATAATAATCTGAGTACTCTGTCATTGGAAGTATCTACTATCGTAGATCCCTTATTCAACTTCTTTAATCTTTGCCATATATATTCGGGATGTAATTTATGATATTTTAATGAAAGGAATAGTATTTGTAATGTTGGATTAATGTAATAATCCGAAAGAATTGATCCATTATATGACCAGGGTATACTTTTCATCAAAGAGTTCGTTAAAAGTGGGTTACCCTTCTGCGACTGTGATACTTGAACCGAAGAATATGTTTGTACATTACTTCCTCTTGCATTTATTTTATTATTGCTTCTAGTAGTATTAGGAGGATTGCTAATAATATTGGTTTTATTGGTATTTAATCCATTATTATTTCGTTGAACTTTATTACTATTTGAAGTTTGGATATTAGCTCTTATCGAATGATCTGCTTCGCTTGTGCTTTGCTTGGTTTTGCCAGTTTCGTCGTTCGTTATATCAACTGCTTGAGATTGTACCTCCGTTCGTATTTCAGATATACTCTCATTTTCATCAACATTATACTGCTCCCTCATTCGCTTCACTCCATTTAGAATACTCCGAAATGAACTTGAGTCTATTGGATCTTTGTCATTGAAATTCAGCATTACTGTATTATTAGCTAAATATGCTTATTTTATTTATCTCTTACGTTATCTCATATCGAATAATATCGCACCAAATTTTGTAGGCGGCCTAAAACGTTAGCGTTAGCCATCTGTCATTTTATTTTACTCATGTCTTGTATCAGGACATACACTATTTTACATTAACTCCTAATAAGAAAACGGGATTTTTATTGAACTTACATTCGTTAAAAATGCTTACTTATCCTAGATAAACCCAAACTTTTATACCCATGACTGTACTTTCTCCATTCTTATTAGACAATGTATATGGAATTAATCAAATATTAAGCACAAACATTATCTATAGAGCATGATGCCGACCAGTACCACAATAGGACAATACATGACAATAAAACTTCCCAAAACAAGTAGATCATAATCGTATGTAAGAGGATAATTGGGAATAGCAAGAAGCATTACTTAGCATTGCTCAATACTACTTACCGGCATATAGTGATAGAATATCTTTCGAGTTTTAGACACTTACTTGCTGAATACAATTTCGATTTATTGGAGTTTGGAACCTACCTTAAATTTGATAGCTGATTGCTTAATCTGGAGTTTTGCGGCAATCCGTTTGAGAAATACTACTTCCCTCAACCCGGCCGAAGAAATGTATTTCAACGCCAATAAATTGATATAAATATAAATATGTAATAAAATATAAGGTGGCTGGGTATTAATCGATAACTAAGGATAAAGTTTCTGAAGTATTTACATTTAATAGTGGTTAAATATGGTAAAATGTGCAGCCAATTCACTATATTTTAGTCGTCCGCGGTACATGGAATTACTGGAAAGCAACTATAATGTACCTTCCATAAAGATATATAAATAGTGTGTATTCCTGACTCTAGTTGTTTTTTGATTGCATCTTTTTATTACAAATATTAGTTCTATTCGTTCAAAATGACTATTTCTAAAGTTCATTCACGTTATGTATACGATTCCCGTGGTAATCCAACTGTAGAAGTTGATGTTACCACCGAAAATGGTTTATTTAGAGCAATTGTACCTTCAGGAGCATCTACTGGTATCAATGAAGCTATGGAATTAAGAGATGGTGATAAATCTAAATGGCAAGGAAAGGGTGTAACTAAGGCTGTTGATAATGTCAACAAAACAATTGCTCCACAATTGATAAAGTCTGGTCTTGATGAAAAGAATCAAGAGGAAATCGACTCTTTCTTGTTGAAATTGGATGGTACTCAAAATAAGAAGAACTTGGGTGCAAACGCCATACTTGGAGTCTCTTTGGCTGTTGCTAAAGCTGGTGCTGCAGCAAAGCAAGTCCCATTATATAGACACATTGCTGATATAAGTAAATCGAAGCAAAAGAAGTATGTTTTGCCAGTTCCATTCCAGAATGTTTTAAACGGTGGTTCTCATGCTGGTGGTTCATTGGCGTTCCAAGAATTTATGATAGCTCCAACAAATGCGCCAAGTTTCTCCGAGGCTTTGAGAATTGGTTCCGAAGTCTATCACCATTTGAAGTCCTTAACCATGAGTAAGTACGGACAATCTGCTGGAAATGTTGGAGATGAAGGTGGTGTAGCACCAGATATTGAAACTCCTGAAGAGGCACTCGATTTGATTGTTGCGTCTATTGAAAAAGCTGGCTACAAGGGTAAGGTAGGCATTGCTTTAGATGTAGCATCATCCGAATTTTACAAAGATGGTAAATATGACTTAGACTTCAAAAATCCAAATTCCGATAAGTCGAAATGGTTATCGGGTGATCAGTTGGCTAATTTATATGAAAGCTTAATTGATAGGTATCCAATTATATCAATTGAAGACCCATTTTCAGAAGAAGATTGGGATGCATGGTCCAACTTTTACCCTAAGGTGGCCTCTAAAATACAGATTGTTGGTGATGACTTAACTGTTACTAACCCAATTTTTATTAAGAAGGCTATAGAAAAAAAGGCTGCAAATGCCTTATTGTTAAAGGTGAATCAAATTGGTACACTCACTGAGTCAATTATGGCAGCCAAGCTTGCGTTCAGCGATAAATGGGGAGTTATGGTTTCTCACAGATCTGGTGAAACAGAAGATCATACTATTGCTGATATTGTAGTTGGTTTAAGAACTGGCCAAATTAAGACTGGTGCCCCTGCCAGGTCCGAAAGATTAGCCAAATTAAACCAAATCTTAAGAATTGAACAGGAATTAGGAGCTGATGCTATATATTCTGGTAAGGATTTCCAAACCGCTCATAATTTGTAAGGTTTATAATCTTATATTGGATAAAAGTATGCAACTTATTTTAAATAAATTTTGTAGCATTGATTTTCTTCACCAGCTTGATCTGGAGTTTTGCGACACTCTCGTTCCTGGCCACTTGGAAGTGAGTCTTATACTTGTGCGCGTATATTTGATTCGATGGATTTTATCGAATAATCTATTAATTCACCAATCAGTTTATAATATTATGCAATATTCCTTTAGACAAGCTAATTTGGAAGATTTAGCTTCAAGCTGGAAAATATTAGAAGATGCTATTCGTCGTCGAAAAGATGATGGAAGTGATCAGTGGCAAGATGGATATCCAAATCCATCAGTAATAAAAGAAGATATAGAGAAGGAAATTGCATATGTATTAACGAATAGCAAGGGCGTTGTGGGATATTGTACTATATCAATTAATGACGAACCTGCCTATGCAAACCTTGAAGGTAAGTGGTTATCTGAAGGTAATTTTGTTGCGTGCCATCGTCTTGCTATTTCTGAAAGCTTTTTGGGAAAAGGCTTAGCACAAAAAATGTTAAGTTTTGTAGAAGAGTATGCACTGTCGAATCAGATTTATAGTGTTAAAGCTGATACAAACTTTGATAACTTTGGTATGCTTAAAATTTTTGATAAATTAGGCTATAGATATTGTGGTGAAGTTTTTCTTAGAGGAGCACCAAGAAAAGCTTTTGAAAAAGTATTAAATAAAAGTTAGCTATCAGTATGAATCACAAGTCTATATTTAATTCCACTACTTTAGAGCGATTATTTATGCGCTTACGCTAAGTGATAGCTTAGGTGGCAGTCTCTCACAGACTGGCAAAACAGATCAATGTTATTGTTGTTGGTTTAGAACAAGGAAAACTAAGATAAGTCTCCTTGTAGATTTGAATTATTATCCAAATTAAAGCAAATACCAAGAATTAAACAGGAATTGGAAAATAATGCATATGTTCTGCTAACAATTCACATACCATTCAACATTTGGAGGTTATAATTGTATTAGAATATGCGACTTACTTCATACAAGATTTGTGCAGCAGATCCATTATTCATCAATGATTTTTTTGTAGGTTTATTCACATTTCCATTGCAGTAAATGTCTTTGTTCTCTTCGAAAACATTATCTTCTTTAAATGTCACTTCATATTTTTTGAACATTTTTTTGGTAGCTCCTGTTGCCAGACCAAAATATAACGACTTATCATCAGGATCTTGCAAAAATTCAATCATGAGTGAGCCCTGTCTTAGTAATTCTTGTTTGAAATCGGAGTATTCAGAGTCCCAATCAGTCAACGTTAACAAATCCACGTACCCTGCGTATAACAAGTGAACATACTTTAATTGATTATTCCAGATTGAGTTCCCGTTATACAAAGCACCTTTTCGGTTCATTGCTGCCTTACCTATTTCAATTGCCTTGGATTTCCAATCACTTTTAGAACTGTACTTACTTAAATATGCCAAAGTACTTAGCGCACAACCAGCTGTGTATGACAATTTGCCTTTGT